ATCAGATTTCTGTCCCTGTAAAATGTTATGATATAACATCCAGACTCTTGAAAGGGTAAATTAGTTAAATGTTTCTAAAGGATAATGATTGACCAAAGAGAGATCATCCCTGTATTCCACTAGAAAGTTAGGAAGACTCTGAACCTTCACAAATTTTCTTCCACATAACACAGTATTTCAAAAAGAGTTTAAAAAACAAAACAAAGCAAAAAAAAACCCTTCACGATCATGCAGCAGATCTAAGACAATATTTGTGAAAAAAAGAAAAACAACAACAACAGCAGCAAATGTTAAATTCTCATCATGGCAATAAGAGAACAACTAAGTTGAAATTGAATAGTCTATACATGAATGTTAGTTTGGAGGGAAAAAAGATATAAAAACCAAGAAACACTAAATCTGGTACCACAAAATACATTGTCTTCTCAAGTTAAAATGTTTACATCAATTAAATGCAACTCAAAAGTGGGTGAAAACTAGGATAAGGGCTTCTAAAAACAGTATTTTGAGTTAAATTTCCCAACATTCAAAAAAACTAGAAAACTAAATTTTTCAGGGTTGGTCACACCCGTTAATTAGTACTTTCTATTAAAGTCAAGCAACTACATTTTCCATTCCTTGAAAATGAATGAATCAAAATAGTTTTCATCTTAAAGTATCAATGAAGTCCTTTCTTAGAAAGCTGCTATGGGAGGATGGAGGGGGTTATTGTTTGGTTTGTTAGTTTTCCTGTTTGGGTGTTTGTTTTGGCTTCCCTCAAAAAAACCTTTTTCTTTCCTCTTAGCTAATTTTAAGATTCCAACGCTCACGGCATGTTATGTAATTAAACATCTCCTAGGAAGTGCACAGTCTGCTTAGCACATTAACTCAGGCACAAACCAGCCGTGACCATGCTGCCTCCCAGTCAGGATCAGACCAGTCTGGTAAAGGATAATCATGATGAAAAACCCACTGAAACATACTGATCCCAACATTACTTTATGCCTCAGCACCTAAGATCTTCGATTCTTACGTAATTTTTTAATCCTTAATTTTAGAACAATAACCTAGAAATAAAAAGATATTCCAGTTCTGAGAATTAATTAAATAATTTTATCTTCATGCTCAAAGGCTCCCACCTCCAGAAAACTCAGAAAATGAGACAGAAGTCACAGAGAGACTGTTCCATGTGAATAATTACAGTCCACAACTTCCCATCCAATAACAACTCCTGTTTGGTAGAGGAGGAACGAAAGGACTACCTATATCCTGATGTCTTTTTGTATTGGCTGGTTGGTTGGCTAGTTGTTTGCTTTGAAGCAAAATGGTACGTGCATATGGCCATGAAGGTAGGAATAGCTTCCCCCCCCCCCCAGGGAATGTTTGAACTATCCAAAATGGTAGTCACTAGCTACACGTGGCTATTGAGTAAGTCAAATTATGTCTAGAGTCACCCAGGAACTAAATTTTTAGGTTTATTAATTTTATTAATTTGAATTTAACTTTCAAAGCTGACACTCGTTTGTGTTATTGGGAAATCTTTTAGCATGTTTGGAACAACTTGGATATGTGAATTTACTTTTTCACCTGTAAATGTTATGAAACCTAAACACAGATTAGGTATTTTTGATAAAACATTTAGTGGCTGAATTGTATTTTGAGTATAAAATGCATACTGTATTCAAAGAACTAATAGGAAAGATAATGTAAAATATCTCATTAATAATTTTAAAATATTGACTACATGTCAAAATGATAATACTTTGGATATATTGGGTTAAATATTTTATTAAAATTAATGCTACTGGCATCTTTTTACTGTTCTAATGTGCTACTGGAAAACTTTAAATTTTAAAACATATATCACTTGCATTGCATTTCTGCTGGGCAGCACTGATAAAAAGTAATACTAACCAATGGTATAAGTATCTGAGATGGATCAGTGAAGTAGTTTATAAAAGCTGTGTAGTGTGAGGAAAAAACAAAGAGGCCAGACAGGACTGCATTCAAATCCTAGCTCTGACAATGATCATTCAAAGGCACTTGAACAAGTCCTACAACTTCCTCGGCCTACATTTTCTAGTATGTAAAGTAGGGAGAATAGTGGCCTAGCTTAAACAAAATGTTTTTAAAATACCTGGCACATCACAGGTATAAATAAAGAGTTGTTATTCAAGAGAAAACAGGGATTTCAAGCAATTACTATGAATTAACTGCTTCTGTTTGTCTATGTCTTCCTAAACATGGGCTATAATCTGTGGACACTTCCTGTTCATAATACCTGTACAACTTTATTATTATCTTACGTTTTATAGATTAATAACAGCAACCTTTATACTCAATGCTATGATCAAAATATTCAGCAAATGAAGGTACTGTTTCTATTTGCATTTTAAATGGCACAATGAAATGCATTTCCAGAAAGACTATCATGATTTTTATAAACCAAAATTCACCTAAAAGAGAGTTTTTACATCAGAATACCTATGTCCTCTTTGAGATTTCTACATGCCTATCATGGTGAGACCCAGTATTTGATAAGCTCTAAGATAAACTGCTCGAAGACACTAAGTTAATAATATATAAGTATTAAAGATGTAAAACATGGGCACCAGTAATACTTATTTAAAAATTAATTCTATCTCATTGTTATACTATATTTCTTTGCAATTTGAAAAGTGCCTGCAAATTGTTATTCTATGAAACAATATCATAATCATCATAAGATTAGAAAAGCTAAACCTAGGACAAATAAAATTAAAAACTGCTTCATAAAATAAATGGTAAAACTGTAGAAGGAGTTGCTTTGTCACTAAAAAGTAATATATGGGCTGAAAATATCTGTTGCAAAATGGTTTAGATATATTCATGACTAAAAAAATTAATAATGGGTAACTACTGGAAAGTGAGAAGTTTGGAAGTCATATCTCATCTTTCAGCATGATGCCAAGAAGAAAGATCTTTCTTTTCCACAGTGACTCTTGGCAAAATGCTGAATAATGACTAGATGGCTTAAAGATTAACTCACTATAATTATTCTTATGTTTCCCTGAAAACTAATGGATAATGATCTCTCCTTTCTTCAATCTGCGTCTTGCCCTTTTGTCTCCTACTCTTCCATTTGGTCTGTTTATCATTTTTTCTCTCCAGTTGATCAATATTTATTGAGTCCCTACTATGTGCCAATAGTTCTTGAACTTTACTAGCATAATATAACTTAACTAGCCTGTTATATTATTCAAACAAAAGCACCGAGGATGACAACAGAGAGGTGGAATATATTTTTAAATGTTTTTCAAGCATGTTGGGTTATATGTGTGTATAATCCCAATCGTCTGACTTATCACCAAAATAAATGTGAAGTTCAGTTGCACAACATTCAAGTTCATAAAAATTAAATTGTTAGTTTCAACATAAATTAAGTTTTTCTAAAATAAATTGTTATTTTAGCTTATACCATGTCATATAGCTAAAATCCAAAGTTTGGTTATGGCTTTCCAAGTTATTGCAATAAATATCCAAATCTTCAATTTTATATTAACATAAATACCTCCTTATCCAGAGCATTTTACCCCTGTAACTCTCAAGAGTTTTCTCCAAGCAGTTCAAGTTATGCAATAGATCAGATAAAGTTTCCACTGAAAAACTTCCTGTTCATTAATTCACACCTAAGAGGGAATTTCTAGGAAACAAAATAAAAAGGACATCAGCCGACCTGATGTGTTTATTAGAGAAAAGCTTTTCTTAGTTATTGAATTATAATTATTTACTTGTTGGTTTTTCCATTAAATTGTAAGCAACTTGAGGGTGAGGTGAGGTCTTACTCTTTATGTGCCCATTTGAAAAGCACAGGTTTCAAGACAGTTTCTGGATGGCTGGACAGATAAAAAAAGAAATGTTCATATTTAAAAGTTACCAATAAAATGAGTTTAATCTTTGAGCCTATTTTTCTCAATTCAATAGCTAAAAACATAGGCGTTAAACTTCTAAATTATAAATTGGGTGACCAATAAAGTATGAAAAATAGTACTGCATTGTAAAAATAAAATATTAATTAATTAATTCAGCTGCAATTTAATGCAGACTTAATTTATGCCAATCACTACTCTAGGCTCTGGGGTTTAAAGACAAGTAAGTGCTGTACATCTAAAATGTGAAAGAGAGGGCTTATTCCAATGAATGTATCTGAACTAATCATAATTTTTAAAAGTCATTAAACCATTAAAAATAAAGTAGTGCATCTCCCCTTTGGAATGTATTTTCTTCCCCAATGAGAAGGAATGACAAAAAGGTTTTGCAGTGCTTTATACTTTTGCTTCTTGCTTAGAAAATGCAATCTCCTTATACAAGTAAGATGCCCTCAAGATACTACCTTTTGTTGAGTCAAGTAGGAAGAGGACGCAAAGGAAGAAAGAGATCAGAATCGCCATAAAATACAGAAAAGAAAAATATCAGCATGAAGTATATCAGAACAAAGTTTGGCATAGTATCATTCTTACATTAGACTAGAACACTGGAACCACAATCAACCACTAACCCAAGGCAAGCAGCTGAAAACTGCCCTAAAAGGAATAACCCCATGAGACACATACTTTGTGAGAGCTGTCAATACAAGCAAGCGGTGCAGAAATCCTCTCAATAAGTTTATGAACAGGGTAAAGGCCTTGACAAGTGAAAACTAAAAGCCTGTCATTGGTTGGTCTTCCTGGTGAAGCAGATCCTTCAGGGCACTTTGTAGCTGGCAAGAAGTAGCAACTTCTTTTTAGGCACTAATAGTCTGGTCTGGCTGGTTCATTCATTTTACTTTAGCAGATATTACCTTTGGTTCTTAAGAGAGTCAATGTTTTTAACCTGGACAAGTGTAAATGATAAATCAAGAAAACTTGACGACTTTAGAGTACAATAACTGTTTCTAAAGTGAACAACACATGTTTTTTTAATGAATGGAAGAATTGACCAAGCCCTGTAGAATGTCTGCCAGTATTAAACCCACTCCACCAGATCACCCAAGTTCCACTTACCCCCAACATCTGGTGGATGTAGTGATACTCTGGCCCTTGGTTATACAGCAAGAAGGTTTTCCAGAAAAGCAGGATATTCAGGGAAAGCCAAATGAGCTAAACCAATCAGCAAGGGAGAGAGGAAACAAAAATTGAAAATAACCATTACCTGATGAATGGAAACCACGAGTAAATTCCCTTGACACAGTACTTAGAGTGGAACTTAGTAATTTCATAAAGCATATTCTATTAACCAGTAAGCTGAAAACCACTCAGAGGAAAAACAAATCTGACTTTACTCAGCCCCTTCACCTGAGATTAAGCATTTGAGTTGCAAATAGGTCTCCTAAATGAACCGAAGATATCCCCTACAGTATGAAATCAGACTAATATATTAATGACATCACCATACCCAAGCAAACAGAAACAATCTGGGAAAAGAGCAAAGGAGGCAAAAAATATTTAAAGGGTTAAGAAAAAGCTGTGTTCACTTAAAGTGACCTCTCTTCCTCCACATCTGCTCTCCCATCAGTGTGCAGGAAAATTCCCATGCATGGGGCTGGGGGTGGAGGGGAGTCGTCATTATCCCCGGCGTAAAGTTTTGTTAGTTGAGAATGCTCAAATTAAGAGACAAAACTTCCACTTCCAGCTTCCCACCCGGCGCGGCACGCTCACAGAATGAATCAAAAACCGCAGCAGGACATGCAGGAGAGACAAAACCCGCCATCCTACCAGGCAGAGGTGTTTAACCCCTTCGTTGGCGAGCCAGCTCCTCCAGGACACAGCCATGCCGCCGGCCCCGCTCGGAAAGGAGCAGCAGCGGCCCGGGCAGCGGTCACAGCGGTGCAGCTGCGGGGGGAGGGGGCACCGCGTGGGGACAGAGGGTCAAAGACTGGGTGGAAGCCCGAAGGCCCGGCACGGAGCCAGCCGGGGCGAGGTCTGCGCCCCGGAGGAGCCGGGTCCTCCCGGGCACCCCGACTCCGACCCGCGCCGGGTCCGCTCTGCCCTCTCGGCGGCCCCGGCCCCGCGCTCCCCGCGCGCGCCCCGCGGCCCACGGCCGGCTGCACCAGCCCGCAGCGCCGCGCCGGCCCCTTTGTCTGGGGGCGAGCCTGTTGTTGTGGCTGCCGCCGCTCGGGACGGCCCGGGTGGGAACTTGGAGGCGTCCTCCGCGCTCTGCAGCCCGGCCTGCTCTCAAATGCCCAGGAACATGTGCGGAACGACACTCACGCTGAAGCGGGGGCCCTCGCCGCCCCCTTGTACACACACACACACACACACACCCCTGGTTCTTTTGGACTGTTGTTTTCCGCAAAAAAAAAAAAAAAAAAAGTTCAACTCAAAAAGCCTTGGTAACGAAATTTGAGCCGGAAATAGCCTTTTGTGTACCAGCGTCCCCCTTCCACAGCCCATCCTCAGCAACTTCTCCTACCGCACACAAAAACCCCCCCCAGCAACCCTCACCTACAGCCTCCCGCTACCTACTCCCTTCTTCACCCCCTTCCCCGCCCAATCCCACACTGAAGCAAAGATTTTAAGACACTGCTGCATACAAAGAGACCCTGGCTATGGTTAAAGCTGACGTAATTCTCAGGGGCTTCAAAGAAGCTCAGATTCACTCTACTGAGGAATTGTGCTTTACTACCTAGTCTGTTAGTATGTAATAAGAATCCTCTCAAACTTGTTCCAGAGGCCTGGTGAAGGGTGAGAAAGGTGTGGAATTGATACAGGTTATGTATCCTGCATTGCAACAGATCGATATTAGGGAAGAAAAAAAATAAATAATTCGTATAGAAGAATGGTGCAAAATAGGTGTTCAATAAAGGTTTGTAAAACCTAGAACTTCCCCAAGTTTAACCACTGACAAATGGCAGAAAGAGTTTGTTAGCAGTAGCCTAATCTCATAGCTTTCAAGCTCGCTCTTTTTTAAACAAACTACATTTTTACAACACATGCTGTAGGAGATAATTAAAACTACAAAGTTAAAAAAAACACCATACTGTCTTTACCACCTGCAATGTATTTATTTCAATCTATTTAATGAATGAATTAATGATTGCAAACCTCAATTTGAAAAACTGGAATGAACCCATATTAAGTCCCAGTTAGATTTCACACAATTTTCTTTCTAAATTTGTTATCTCTTTTTGATATATGACTTTCCTGTTTCACGTGTGAATTAAAATAAAATCTAAAGTCCCACAGCACAGTGAATGGATTCTGTCTTGGCCAACAGGACCCCCAGAAACACCCTAAAGCCGAGTTTCTGGCCATGAGACAGGAGGTCAGACATGCCTTGTCATGTCCCCCTCCCTACTTAGAGATATCCTTTGTAGCTCATTAACAGGCCTAAGACCATACAAGACAAAGCTTAAACCGCACCTGCAGGTATCTGTCTGGTGGCTTGTCTCTGATTAACAGACTTTCTTATCTTAAAACATTCCAAGCCTTTAGACAAAGCTTCATTTCTTCAACAAATTACAAATCAAAAAAATCTTTATACCCACCAATAACCTGTAATCCTCCAGTTTGAGATGCCCTGCCTTTTCGGCCAAACCAGTGTACGCCTTCCATGTATTAATTTATGACTTTATGAGTAATTCCTGTCTCCCTGAAATGTATAAAACCAAACTGTAACCCAACCACAGCAAGACCACGTGCATCTGTGGGCCATGGTCGCACATACTCAGCTCAGAATAAACCTCTTTAAATTATTTTACAGAGTTTGGGTTCTTTTCCATTGACACATGCATGACCAAATCCAGAAAACTGCCCTAAATCTTTCTGGATTTAGGGAGCATATTATTTATAACTAATACTAGTATCGTATTGACCATGGAATACCTAAAGGAGCAGGGAGAGAACACACAGAGAATTCCAGAAGTGTCACTACTGGAGGAAAGTCCAATTCTGGGACCCATTGGTGCTCCTTCCTAGAGCTTTAATTTCAATAGATTGGAGGGGGTGGGGGTGTTTGTTGGCAAAATAGTTAGGTTCTTGCCATGAGTTGAGAAGAGTGAGGCAATTGGAGAATAGTAGAATAAAAGACAAGTTTAAAAAGCTCAGCTATTCCAGTACAACAACAAAAAGACAAAATATAAAAATAATGTCTCCAACTCTTAATATGTACCTACTGTGTCAGGCACTGTCCTGGGTACTTCCTATACAAAATCTCACTTAATGCTTATAGTAGCCCTCCAAGTGGATGTTAGTGCCCTCACTTTAAAAATGAGGAACGGAAGCTAAAAGAGATTCAGAAACTTGCCTGAGGTGGTGAAATGGGGTTTGCTTAAAGTTCAAACAACCCCAAATCAAGTACTTTTGTAAAATGATAGAATGCTATACAAATGTTGGTTGTTATATCTAACACTTTTATTTTCAAATCTTTGTAAAAGGGGTCTGGATTCTGTTTATGTTGATTTACAAGGAAAGGTATGGCAAACCATCCCTAAGGGACAAAGCTATTGTTCTGTTATAGGGGAACTCTCATTAATGAGATTCTTTGCAATATAATTTTCTCTAAGCCAGATTGTTTAATGCAAGTAGTTACTGTCTTTCACAAGCTAAGAAAGGCCTCCTTTGAAAGTAATGAGGAGAGAGTCCTGTAGCTATATCAGTATTCCAAATATCATAATAAAAATCACACTTTTGCCAGGAAAAGACTTCACAAGAAAAACTCAAATGACAAAGAAGGCAAGCTACTAGTGTCACACTGATCATCTTATGCTAATTATATACTCTGGCAGTTAGAGGTGTGCTTGACCTGTTATTTATTACTTAATAAACACAGAAGATTTTTGTAAACAGTATCCTTCAAAATATAACATGGATGGGGGAAATTTGATGGAAGTGTATCTTTTCAGCCTACTTTATTATTACGCAACTTTATGTCTCAGCTCAGAGGAATACCTTCCCATTAAGCTTTTCCATTTTCCCTCAATACACACACACTCACCCTGGAAGTGTGTACTCTTTAGTGTGTTCATAATAATCTGTGCACATGATCATTACTACATTTTCCATATACTAACTTAATTATATGCATCTATGTGTCTAATATGCCTAATAATAAAATGGACTTCTTAAGAACAAACATCCTGTCTTACTCAGTTTTTATTCCAAGACTTGGCACAAAACTTGACTGATAGTAGGAAATGTATACCTTTATTAAAAGAATGAATAGTGCGTAACACTTTTCCTACCGCTCATGAGTTTTCTCATGTTTTGTGCACCATCTGTTATGGACCTTAGATGTCAACTCACTGTCTTGTCTGTTAGGGAGAGTAGAGGTTTACGGCCAAATTTGCAAATGAAAACATCAAGAATGAAGAAAGGCTGGCAAGGCATGGTGGCTCCTGCCTGTAATCCTAGCTCTCTGGGAGGCCGACGCGGGCGGATTGCTTGAGGTCAGGAGTTCGAAACCAGCCTGAGCAAGAGCAAGACCTCGACTCTACTATAAATAGAAAGAAATTAATTAGCCAACTGATATATATAGAAAACATTAGCCGGGCATGGTGGCACATGCCTGTAGTCCCAGCTCCTCGGGAGGCTGAGGCAGTAGGATTGCTTAAGCCCAGGAGATTGAGGTTGCTGTGAGCTAGGTTGACACCACAGCACTTGCTCTAGCCTAGGCTATAAAGTGAGACTCTGTCTCAAAAAAAAAAAAGAAAAAAAAATGAAGAAAGGTGACATCATATTTTCCAGAAAAGGCAATATTCTTCTCCTAGCATGGAAAGATAAGCGGGTTAGATAAGCGGGTTGTCCGAATGATAGCAACGATCCATGACACTCCTGTCTCGACAATAGGAAAAAGAAAATAGAAAAACGGGAGAGAATATTGTAAAATTTACCTGCATCAAAGAATACAATGCCCACATGAAAGGCGTTGCCCGTACGGATCAATTCCTTTCGTGAGCAATCCTTAACAGATGGCGCCCGAAACACGAAAAACTCATGAGCGGTATGGTACGAAAGGTGTTTAAGTATATCACCCTTCTTTTTGTGTCTTTCTCAGACTTCAGTTTCTCAAGGATAACTTTCCAGTAATATGAGAACAGTTTCTGCTCAGCTTCAAAATATATTACCAGAAAAGGATGAATGGGGCAAGAAGCCCTGGATATGGATGCCATCCCATAGGTCAAACAATAAGCGTTTGAGGCAAGTGAGCACTTTTATTAATTTCCTGAGGCTGCAGTAACAAATTACTATAGAGTTCTATGGCTTAAAACAACAGAAATGTATCCTCTCACAATTCTGAGGGTCAGAAGTCTGAAATCAGTATCATTGGTTCAAAATCAAGGTGTTAACAGGACCACAATCCTTCCTGAGGTGCTAAGGAAGAATCTGTCGTCCGGGCGAGGTGGCTCACACCTGTAATCCTAGCACTCTGGGAGGCTGAGGTGAGCGGATTGCTCAAGGTCAGTAGTTAAAAAAACCAACCTGAGCAAGAGTGAGACCCCATCTCTACTATAAATAGAAAGAAATTAATTGACCAACTAATATATAGAGAAAAATTTAGCTGGGCATGGTGGTGCATGCCTGTAGTCCCAGCTACTCGGGACGCTGAGGCAACAGGATTGCTTGAGCCCAGGAGTTTGAGGTTGCTGTGAGCTAGGTTGACACCACGGCACTCACTCTAGCCTGGGCAACAAAGTAAGACTGTGTCTCAAAAAAAAAAAAAAAAAAAGAATCTGTTCCTTGCCTCCCCCAGGTTCCTGGAATTAGGCCCTGTTATCTTTGGGTGGCTATAATTCACCCTACAATAGCAAATAAATTAACTTAAATGAAATTAATTTTTTTCTCTCTGATTGGATATGCCAGCCTTAGAGTAGGGTTTTTGAAGAAATTCCCCTTAAAGAATAAAGGTTTAGGGCTCCTAGTTAGCATTTCTGTCAAGAATCCAAATATTATAGACCTAGTAACATAGCTGATAGAACAAGGTAAGATTTTTTTACATTTGTAACTTGATGGAGTTTTCCATTTTTGTTATCCCATATCTGATTACCAGAAGGA